CTGCTGAGGAGGTGTAACCCGACCCTCTTTCTGACACCGCATATACCTCCTGCTCATCTGACTGACGTTGTTCCTGATGGGAAATATTCTCCTATTCAAACATTTATTGTCTCAGATGAAGAACATCATACCCAAGTCGTTCTACCCCTGGATGTTCGTGCTTTTGAACACTCTCTTCCAGCTGTTGGATTGAAGCATGGTACTCTGGAGTCTCATGAAACAACTCCCCATACTACTAGTACTGATCCAAACGTGTCTATTTCACTCATTGTTATTGAAGAAGGATCACTTACATGCCAAGACATACGAGAGATAACGAGAGATAAAAGATCAGCTGATACAACAAGTAGATGCTTCCAATGTTCAACACCTACACATGTCTGACACACTTTAGACCAATCCACTGATCAGTGAGTCAGGCTTCGGATGAGGAATGGCAGGGCTATTCCAGGGGGGAGGGGGAAACGACTCGAGCTCAGGAAATTATTGGACGATACATTGGTTACTACTGGCAATGGAACTCATCTTATCAATTTGTTAGTTAGCCCCTTTCCTAGAACTAGAGGCAGAGGCAGAGGCAGAGTAAAATTGAGTCGCTCTCTAGCTACCTGATACCACCGGGTTTACTATATGTTTTGGCACTTTTGATTTTTGGGCTCTCAAGTATTTTTCTGTATTTTCTTTTTTTCTGGAACTATTTGCATGTGGTGTTTACCGTGTGGGTAGGGTGTCATGCTTGGGCCCTCTCATACAATCTATTTGTATCTTTCTTTCTTTTTTTACGATGGTCCTAAAGCAAGGGTTAAGTCACATCGATTATGAACTAGCCAGAAGTTCAAAATGAAACCAATCTCCCTATAATGCAAGGGTGACGCCAAATAGATAAACTCTTCCGCACACCCTATTTTAACAAAAACATTACATATACACCTCTAATAGGGCCAATTTAAAGTCTAAACAGTTTTACAGCGAAAGATATTTTGGTTACTCATGACGTCACTTATGGCTAGCTATGAAATATCTCTGCAAAGGTCCTTAGATGAACAAAAAAATCCCCACAAAATCAGATAATAGTTTAGATTAACACTGGAATGCTAAAGTCATTTAAAGCACAAATCTATTGCCAAACTATATGCTGTAGCTGAGAAATCACAAACCTCTGCTTCAGGTAGTGTGCTCAGTCCACGATCATTTCTTTCATCTAGTATCCCACCACCCATCATATTCCTGGCTTCTTCCCTGATCAAAACAAGTCTAGCAAGCAATTTTCTATCTGGAACTGTTGCCCTGGCTTCCATTGTCTGTAAGAACATAAACAATTAAGAAGGAACAGTAACTCTGTTTCATGTGATACACAATATATTTTCTGCACATAATACTTCCATTCTAGCTTTGGAGTCTGGACATTAATATTCAGAGAGTAACGAATAAATTGAATGAAATTAATACATAACTACAAAACCACAGATAAACAAATTACGTAGCATCATCAATATTAAAGATATCCTGATTAAAGATAACTAACGCTATCATTCAGATAATTCAAGTCGTTCTGGAACTTTTAGTTTCTTGATCAATTCAGCTATTGCATTAAATAGAAAAAACAAGACAGTTACTATTGATAAATGTAAATTCCATTGGTCTCCACCAAGTTAATCATCTTTCTGAACAAAGGGAAGTTGCATTTGCCCTTCCAAATGTTGAAGCTAGGGTGCAAAAGAAATTGTAATCATTACACCGTCTTTCTATGCAATTCTTTAATAATCTGAGTTCACAAAAGATATTTGACAGAGATATAGCTCAGCTGTATTAAAACATTGCTTGCCAGCAAGCAAAATGTGATACTACATATAAATAAGCATCAATGATGATTTGGCAAAGCTATGGCTACGAAAGGTATAGTCTATCATATATTTTTAGAACAATACCTCCAGCAGGTCATCAGCCTGGTTGGCTATATCATTCAGATTTGCTCCTGGCAGTTGTACCTTTAGATCATTCTCCCCTTTGAAGACACCGCCACCACCGGCTACTCGCCGTAATAATTCATGTCTGCTTTCCTTATGTGGAGTACGGCAAAGCAATCCGATCACTTGAACCTGTTTCAAAGTTATGAGCAGTTGATTACATTATCAAAGATGAAATTGATTATGAATATCAAACTCTCATTTCTTAATCAATCAGTATGCAGTTTGCTTAAGTTTCAAAAGATGATAACTCACATGGGGTGCGCACTTTTTGGTAAGATGATCTAAAACTGTTTGTTTGATAACCTCCAGAAGCAACTTGCGCTGAACACACAAAATAGTTTGCCATGACAAGAATGCACAAGGAAATAATAGGTTTAAATATCAACAGCTATAGAACGTCTGATAGAAAGGATAAATTGGGAAAAAGTGCTTGTATATAAGATGATTGCAAATGAAGAAAGTTCAAGCCCGCTTCTGTATTTTACCTTTAAATCAAGAGCATATTTCCCATTAAAAGCGTGAACAATGCTTCCCTTTGAAAGAGAAGTAAAAAAAAAATGAAAAAACAAGTTGACGGTGCTTAAAAGCTATAATTGATAATAAATGAGAACTGATGCCAGTTTTTTCTTCTTTTTCTCCATTATTGTCTTCAACCTCGAGTTGTTGATCAACAAGATATTTTCAGAAAAAGATTAACAAAAAATAGAATATACCACCATATGTACTGAACAAGCCTCAAAGTCCTACAGAAGTTCAAGCATCTTCAAACTGGGATAGATTCATCTGCTATATGATTATTGTAGTAGTCAGCGGCTATCATCCATTATCCATTAACTTCACATTAAACGTCTTTCATACATCATTCTTCTACTTTCGATTTTTTTAATTTTTTGGAGTACCAAGAAAGAAGAAAATTTTAGTATACATTTTGATCAAAACCTTTATATTTCTTGATATATTGTTGTATGTGTTTTCATAAATGTCGTTTATTTTCTTAAGAAATGAAAATTTTATTCAGCCATAAGAATTTGATTCAATAATGTTGAAACTTCGATTCACCTTGAAAATATTTATAATTATCGATTTTTTTGGAAAAACGGTTTATTATTAATTTAAAGGATTTATTATAATTGCACGCGCGCGCGTACACACACACACAAATATATATATATATATATATATATATCTGTGTGTGAGACAGACTGGAGTTAACTAAAGCCAAAATAACAAAAGCAAATTTTATCAAGCAAATGAGTAAAGTTACAATCACGATTCCAAAACAAGATGAGAGCACGATAAACAACAATATCCGGCACACACACACACACACACACACATATATCTGTGTGTGAGACAAACTGAAGTTAACTAAAGCCAAAATAACGAAAGCAAATTTTATCAAGCAAATGAATAGGGTTACAATCACGATTCCAAAACAAGATGAGAACACGATAAACAACAATATCCGGCTAGAACCGGTTAGAAAAATCCTGGGACGGTAGTGGTGTGGGTGCTACGGTTGAAAGTTGAAAGAGGAGATGTAGAGAGGTTGGTATGGGTTGTAGGGTGGACCGGCGGCTAGAACAGGGAGAGTGAGTTAAAAGGGGCTTGAGGCTGAAATAGGAGAGTGCGGGAGGCTAACCGATGGTTGGGAGCAAGTAAGTGGGTGGCAAGAGGTGGCTAGGCTGTGAGAGATGGTGGGGTGACTGGCGGCTCGAAAAAGCAGGTTGGGGTGAGAGATGGCGGTTGGAACGGCTAATTAGGGGTGAAAGCAGGCGGTTGCAGAGGCAGGGAAGGAAGTGGAAATGGGCGGCTAGATCTACAAGAAGGAAAAGGGAGATGTTGGGGTCGGCGGCAACACAGGAAGGAGGAAAACATGAAGTGGATTCAGAGAGGACAAACACCACCTCGAATAAAGTACAACCGAAGCACCTGTCCTTAGATATAGCCCTAGCAAAAGACAAGACTTATGGCAGGAATTTGAGATACAACAACACATAACATAACCCTAATCTCAGCAAGCACACAATAAATAGAACTAGGTAGGCGGGGAATAAGAAAGGAAAGGGAAAAAAAGGGGTTGATAATTCCCGCCCAAGCTGGATAGGATTCCTGCCTTGGCCGGTTCAGCCTCGCATCAGTCTTCGGGCGTTGGGGAGCTTCGATCTTATTCGTTGAAGCTTCTGGATTCTCAAAGTATGGTGTCAAATCCACAGCACTGGACTTAGTGGACACATTTAGTCCCCAGGTAGGTCCATCCTGTAGGCATTGTCAGTTATCTTCCAAAGTATTCTAAAAGGTCCATCTCCTTTGGGCTTTTGTTTCTGGAATGCTACAACAGGAAATCTCTCTTTCAGTCGAATCCGTACGAGGTCTCCTTTTTGAAATATCACACTTCCTGACTTATACGCCTGTGTCTAATATTTGTGGTTCTGCTTAGCAATCTTCATTCCAACCTCCTCACGGAGTTTCTAGATCTCATGAACCTGTTCTTCAGCATCCACGCTAATCTCTGATGTTGGCAGGCATGGTAACAACTCAACTGGCATGACTTCCATACACAATCTCAAACAAAGTGTCCTATAGTCTGACTCCTGAATTTGTTGTAGACGAACTTGGCTTGAGTAAGAATTAGAATCCGCTGCTTAATATTCTTTCACATGAAGCACCTCAAAAGATTTTATAGGCTCCTGTTTAATACAACAGTTTGACCGGCCGTCTGTGGATGAGCTGTTGAACTGAATTAGAGCTTGGTGCCTAGTTTCCCCACAAGGTCCTCCAAAAGTGACTCAGAAATTTAACATTCCTGTTGGTAGTAATGGTCTTGGGAATTTCGTGTAGTTTCGCGATCTCTCTGAAGTACATGTCTGCACTATGAGATGCGTCCAACATCCAGTGGCAGTGCACGAAATGCGTCATCTTCGAGAAATGGTTTACCAACACCATCTCGGAGTTTTTGTTCTGCTGTGTTCATGAAAGTCCTCCGACGATGTCCATAACGAGGTCCACCCACGGTGCCTCCAATACTGGTAATATACTCGACATTCTACCCTCTGGTCTTTGCCTTATGGCAAACTCTACACCATATAACATGTTGCTCCACATCTCTCGTCAGTTGGGGCAAAAATAAGTGCTCTCTCACGAGTGAGATAGTCTTGTCCCTGTCAAAATGTCATGCCAGTCCTCCATTATGGCTCTCCTGAACAACGACCTCAAGTAGCGAGCACCACGAAATGCACAACTTACTATGGTAGAACAAGTACCCATCGGCCCTGTGTACTGCTCAGTAGGCTTCTCCTGACATCGCTCCCAAATTTCCTTGAAGTCTTCATCCACCTCGTATAAGTCCTTTACTACCCTAAAACCCATAACTCGAGTCTGACTTGACGTTATCACGCGATGACAACTCAGTGCGTCTACTACTCGGTTCTGGCTCTTGGTCCTGTGTTAAAGCAAAAACTAGAATAATGCTAAGAACTCTACCCCAGTGGCATGTCGGCCCTTCATTTTGCTCTTATTGTTTCAAAATTTTAAGGCTTCATGATCAGTGAACAATGTAAAATCGCTCGTGAGCAGGTAATGGCTCCAATGCTCAAAGGATCAGATAAAGCATAAAATTTTTATCGAAGGTCAAGTACTTCCTCCGGGAGTCATTCAGTTTTTCGCTGAAAAAGTTGATGAGATGACCTCCCTGGCTCAGCACTGCTCCTATTTCCACATCGAATGCATCACACTCTACCTGGAGCAGTTGGTTGAAAATTGGCAATGCTAAAACTAGTGCCTGAGTCATCTTTCCTTAAAAGTGTTGAAGCTGGTCGGAGCTGTAGTTGTCCAAGTGAACTCTTTTCCTCTTAAAAGCTATGTAAGGGGAGCAATGATAGTGTTGAAGTTTCTGATGAATCGCCTGTAAAACAACACTAGCCCTATAAACTGTCTCGGCTCAGTGAACGTCTGTAATGTGGTTCAGTTTACAATGGCTTCAATCTTCGTATAGTCCATCCGAATGCCTACACTAAGCACAATATAACCCAAAAAATGTACCTGGTCCATCATGAATTGGCACTTCTTTGGATGGGAATATAGTTTCCTTGTTCGCGGTACCTTGAACACTTCACTCAGGTGTTGTAAGTGATCCTCAAATCGGTTGAGTACAAGAATGTCGTCAAAGTAGGCCACCACAAATTTCTCGATGTGGGCTCAGAATACTTGATTCATTAACCCCATAAAAATGTTGGCTCTTGTGACAGGCCAAAGGGCATACTTGCCCACTCGTATAGGCCATCTATTGTCTTGATAGCAATCTTCTACTCGTCTTCTGGCCTCATCGATATCTGGTAATACCCACTGCATAAGTCAATCTTAGAAAAAAGGATGACTCTGTGTAACTGGTCCAAGAGATCATCCAGCCAAGATATAAGAAACCGATATTTGATGGTGATCTTGTAGATGGCCCACTGTCAATGCTCATCTGCCACGACCTGTCCTTGTTGGGCACCATCAAGGTGAGACAGCACACGTACTGCTACTCTCTCTGACTAGCCCCCTTAGGACAAGATCATATACCTTTCGTTGTAATTGCTCGTACTGCACGGCCCTCAATCTATAAGCGGGCCTGTTTGGCAGCATTGATCTTAGTATAAAATCTATGGCGTGTTGAATGTCCCTCAATGATAATAATCCCTCCGAAAAGTTGAGGTCATCACATTCTGGAATAGCAGTCACACTCTGCCATCTTCAAAGTAGTTGGCAATCCAACCATGGGAAAGATTTTCTATAGAATGCCAGAAAAAGCAGAGCAATCCAAGAGGCTTTAGAAGGTTCCACTGCATTCTAAAGTATGTTGGAAAGAAAAAGGTTCAAGGAGAACTCTAGGATAGCCTAAGAATCTCTAGAATCATATATATATAAAAGGGCAATGTAGAACTATCTAGAAGTTAGTCTATCCTAATGTAAGCTAGAAAGTTCCCTAGGGCCAAAGGGAGGACTATAAATAGGAGTATCTCCCCCTCATTTGGAACCATCCAAGGTTTCTAAGCAACCAAGTGTGGAATCTGTCATTCTTTATTGAAGTGTTCCTTTCTTCAATAAATTCTCCTTCCTTCTTAGAGAGTTGTATGCTTTCAAGTCCAAGCATTCTAGGGGTTAGGTTGATTTAGTGCTTAAGAAGAGCATTTAAGCTACACGGGTGACTTGAGAGAAGTTCGTCCTATATAGTTGTATCAGAGCCAAATGTTAAAGGCATGGTAAAGAGTTTTAAAGAACATGTCATTGAGTTTGAGACCACAAATGTGGAAGTCATCACAACAAAGATGAGGTTGTGA